GGTTTATGGTTACATACTTTTACATAAGTAATATGTTGGAAAACTGTTTTAAAAAGGTGAAGAATATGGATTTGGAATACAATTGAAAAAATACATATGTATATGCCTACTGTAAAATCTCAAATAGAATCCCAATGGGCTATCTCAAGAAGAAGCCCATTTCGAATTGAAGCACAAACCCCCCCTCCCCCCACCTTATTTGTTTGCATAAAGCAGACTGGAAAAGAAGCCTGTTTCGAAACTCGAAAAGAAGCCTGTGGGCTTCATTTCAAGATAGCATGGGCTTGTTTTGGAGAGAATAAAATACAAACACTGTACATAAGTTTAAAAGAAACAAAATATATTAAAAACTTGCTCGGTTTATACAGTAGTTAGTGATTCAAGTGCCGGATAATACAATCCATGATACAGACTGATATACAGACGAGGCCCTATTTATTGTTTTATAGGAGTAAATTCCAAAAATTTACAGCATTCATTTTGAAAAAGCCCCCATCTTTAATTTGCAAAAGTAGCCTCGAAAAGAAGCCAATCCATCTCAAGTTTGCAAAAAAAAAAAAAAAAAAGATTATACAGTATTTCAATTCATGTATTGGGTTCCGGTAAAAAACAAATGTGGCAATGTGAAACACCAAGTAGATTTTGTTTTTCAATTAATTACTTCAAAGAAAATTCAGAATATACTATACTCGGGTAAAATTATTATAACAGTATGAACAACAATATTGTAAACAAAATAAAAATTGAAAGGCAATGCATTCATTTAGTTAGTTTGTACTTTATGGATGATTGCTAATATTAATCGCTATATAATATTATGTTTCTTCGTGAAATCGCCTCAAATTGTTTAGAATTTTCAAAAATGTTTGTTAATATTTAAGTAATGAAAGGTTAGTCTCATTTCAATGTTAATTTTTAAAGAGAATAATTATTATTTATGTTAATTATAACAAACCATTTTCATTTATATTTCATCATGGTATAAAATTTAGCAGAAATTGAGAGTAAATATCAGTTTTTGAATAAAGTTATATAATAATATACATTACATCCAAACACTGTTTTGAGAATTATAATTTTCTTAGTTTCATGATTATGGATGTGTAAATATTTACAGGGACGTATTGCAATTCAAAAACAGATTATTATCAGAACCCAAAAAACACTGAGAACTTGGGCAAATCATGATAATTGAAAACCTTCACATTAAAGATAGTACTTTTTGATGGATTGATAATTCGTGCTAAACTTGGATTATCGTCCGATAAATTATATCCAAATTACAAAAAGAAGATGGAACTCTTGTACAGAGATGATGTATTTCATTTTCCTTGTGCCCTTGATAAAATCACAAGTTATTAACAGACACTAACATTAGGCATAGGTTACTGAATCGTTCGGGGTGTGAGTGCAATGCATAATTTAGTACCTGAGACCAAATATTTTAACCCCAGGCACGATTTTTTCTCATTCACGATAGATTCTGTGAATTATAACAATTAATGTTTGCCCATTAGAAGTGTTTTCTCATGCTCTTTCGGTGATCTGACATTATTCTTGGGAAAGAAGAACATAGTTGAATGAACTCTGCTAATTTTTTTTAACCATTTGAAATTTATGAACTATAGAGGGCACACTTAATAATTAGTAAGCTTGATCTTGAAATTTACGATATATAAAATCTATGATTATAAATTTTGATGTAATACCATCAAACCTCGAATTGAAGCTCAGTGGGCTTAATCTCGAGATGATGCCCATTTCAAATTGAAGCCCCCCTCCCCCCACTCTTTGAAGATAGCATAGGCTTCTTTACGAGATAGTACAGTACAAACAATGTACATAAATTACAAAAGACAAAAAAAAAAAATTAATTAAAAACAAACTTGGTTTATACAGTAGTTTAGGTGATTTAATGCCATTTAAATACACTTTATGATACAGATAGATGTTACAATGGCCATATTTATTGTTCTATAGTACAAATTCACAAAATTTACAGCACTTATTTTGAAAAGAAACCCCCTTCTTTACATTGCAAAAGTAGCCTCGAAAAGAAGCCCATTTTGAAAAGAAGCCCATCTAAAGTTCGCAGAATAAAGAAGCCTAGGGCTTCAATTCAAGGTTTTACGGTAGGTGATAAACTATTATTATGTAAAATATGGGTTTTCTTGCACATTCAAGGTCACATTTATAATGAATGAACAGTATTCATATATTAAAAAATTATGGTATGATTGACATTTTAAGCTTACAAAATACTAAATCACTGATTATTATTTAAATTAAGAAGTTTCATAACTGGCCAAATTAAATTAAATTTAAATATGAATTTCTGCTGTTTTCAAAAATTATGTTGGTAATTAATAATACTGATAATAATGGTAATAACAATTAAGTTCAAACAAATTAGTTACTATTTATATTGTTTGTAGATGTCCTTAATTTAGCTGGCCATTAATTATTGAAAAACCATGTATTTCAATAAAAAATGATAACATATTTGAACAATTTAATGCTTAAAATACAGTTTCTATCTTTTAGCAAAACAGAATCAGATTGAATATAGTTTTATAAAAAAAAAGTTTTATTAGCAAAACAGAATCAGATTGAGTATAGATTTATAAAAGCAAGTATTGTCATCAAGCACAAACCATATAAGTTTGTTAAAAACACTAACATTTCATGTCATACAATTGTCTATAATATACAATAAATATAAACTACATTATGTAATAATCAGGGACTAATAGACTTGTAATATATTGTAAAATTTATAGTCTTATTCATAGAATATAGAGGCCCTGGAATTCTGTATATACATGGAAATCTTTATTATTATAATAATTATTGTAAATATTAGGAAACCTTGAACACTTGTCACTGATTCTAATCTCTTTGTTCGTCAAAAATTATTTTTTTATGACATGACCAAAATAGTAAGTAAAACAAAACAATTTTTTGAAAAAGAACTTAGGACTTAGTTCAAACCAAAAATCTAAATACATTTCACCTTGAGTAAATACAACTCTGAATACGAGGCAAATATGATGACCAATTGCCATGGAAACCAGAGCAGCTGCGCGTGTTCTTATAACCCTGGGACCTAAGCCTCAATTGTATCGGCTTGTTTGCACGACACTTATTGATATGATCAGAAAGTTGAGGGTAACACGATAACAGAGGCCCGATTTAATGATGGCCCTATTCCCGACTCATTTATCAGATAAATGCACTCGGGTACAAAAAATCAATTCTCTAGAACAACAGAAATGCGTTGCTGGTTCAATACTCTCCTTTTCATATCAAATATGAAAAATCGAATACAGGCTGCGGGCTATTTTTAGTGCACATAGGAGCCAATATGACCCACAGGCCATATTATACACTATATTCATTTGATTTCATTTAGATACATACAGTACATATCTAATTTCATTTCTGTTTTGTTCAATTAAACCATGCTGTACAACTGGTCAAATATATTTCAGAATTGGCATTAATCCTGGATAGATTTCTATAATCTGCTTAATATGATTCTCTAATGAATCTATAATATTTAAGGCTTAATAAGATTACCTGGTTTTTTTCATGTTTATTACGATATTTCTTTGTGATTTACTTATACCATAGATCCTACAAAATACTAAAAACAGAATGTGACTTAAATTAGTAATTAAAATAAATAACATAAAATAATTAATAAAAATAGGCCTAAAGGTTAAAAAATATATTTTAGAAATATATATTTAAAAAAAGAAGCTGAAATAAATGTTAAAAAAACCGATTTCCTGCCTTTAGAATTATTGAAAACTTCAGTCAGTTCTTTTTATTAAACCTTTATTTTGTTTTCCTCTTTAATTTTATATATTTTCATTTTTTTCATATAAAAAGTGCAATACATTAGTGCATAGAGACAGGTACATTATGCACCTTATAAATTGATTGATTTACAACTTTTTACTTTATAAATATTATGAATAAATCATAGATGAACTAGTATAAGACATACCCTCCTATCTGCAATAAAATTCTTTAGAAAATTTTCAACATCAATTCAATTATTCAATTTCTTCTCCTGCTGGTGCCTGAATACTAAATTATACACAGGCCGTGTATGATGGGCAATTCCATTATTTTTGCCCTGTGCCTGTAATACCTAAAAATATGCATACGCCATGTATGATGGGGGCCAGTCCAGTATTTTCTTTTATGCTCAGGGTAAAAGAAAATCAAACTGCTGCGACACTGACCTTTGAACTTTTCTTCTAAAAATGTAATTATTTCTTTTTCTAAATATTATGTACCATTCCCGTACATTCTATGATGGTCCATTCATTTAGATTTTGCGTAAGCTTAGTAAAAGAACGACAGACAGACAGTGGTGAATTCATAACCTTCTTTGGCAGAGTAACAATTACATTTTATTGATTTAAAGAACATTTAATACGAAAATCTTTGAACTGATTTAACCAGACAGCCAATAATTTAATAATAATATAACTTCAATAATTTGATTATAAGCCAATTTTTATATATTTAATTAATTTATTTATTTGAGTCTTTTGAGAGGGTGGCTACAACAGACCCTCTTTCAAAACAATTTATATATATATATAAAAATCTTAACAACATACAATGCAATAAAATATGAGAAGGTTTTAAAATATTCAATAGTTAAAAATCATTAAAATATTTCGAAGGTTACATTTTAACATCTGTACTATTTAAGCATTTATAATTTGGAAAAGAAATACTTTATCATTCTAATTTGCAATTGAAAGCTAAAACTAAAAAAAAAAAAAGAAAGAAATATTAACTCAAAAGATACCTAAATAATAAATGGTAAATATAGACAAATGTCCCACTTCGGTAGAACAGTTCATGTTTCATGTTATCAAACAAAAAAAAATGTTCTGTCCATCAGAGAAAAAAAAGCATTCATTAGAATACAACTTGTAACATTTCGGTTTCTTTTAATGTACCAATTTGTTTCGATCAAACGAATAAAAGAGTTTCCTTGAGCAGAAATCAGACAGCATGCTTTTAGGGCAATCATACATATTATTGTAGGCAGGTTTTCGACAATCATCGGCATTGGAAGACGGTAGTAATGAGATAAACTGGGGCAGGTGAGAGTATGATTCCAGTGTGCGTATCAATACGATATATTCATCTTGATCACACGGGACTGGTTTCTTAAGTTGAGTAATCAACGACTACGCTACTAGACACCACTGCCTGATTCATCAGCAAGCTCATTCAAGTATCACTGATCTGAAATTCACCCGGTACGGGTTCAAGCGATTTCTGGGACAGGAATAAAACCTTGTGATTGAGGATATATTTACTCGAGGCCTAAAATCAAAATCCATCACTGTCAGAAAAAAAAAATAGAAATCAGAGATGTGAGGCTTATTATAAATTTCCTTCTCATTCTCTTTTAATAAATTTAGAGTGGCCTTATCTCAGAAAATATAGGCCTTAGCGTGCGCACAGATTTAAAGCGGGCCTCACTATTGGAGTGCGGAACAAAGAGAAGACAAAATACTAATTAAACTTTGTGTTTACTGTAATCGGTTGATAGGAATTTGTTCTTCAGTATTACGTCGTGCAAATTAATGTGATCTGTAATCTGCAAAATAATTAATCACGAGAAACTGTACCGATTCAATAGTCTCTAATCTCTAACGAACTGTTATCGTGATTTTAGACAGCACTTTTTGATATTACACACTCAGAGCGATAATACCACTGGTTCATCACCATAGCAACAGCACACTCAGCCATAAAATCCCCGAATTAATATCTGAGCTATGAACATTCTAACTTTTAGCAGAGCACACGGTAATTGCAAAGAGTAATTAACGGTCACTTGTTATGCAAATTAGACTCGGTTAATTATTAATTCCAATTGTCTGGTTGGCTAATTGCATAAAGCTAGATAATTGAAAATCATTAGTTGAATTGAAAGATGGAAATTTTGGAAGATCTGAACTGGTCAATGAATTCTACAAACACACTGTTTTAATGGAGCGGTAAAAAAATTATGATTATCTTTTAAATGATCCCTTTTATATAATGGTGTCTTTGATCGCTGATTATACAATTTCACCCATTAATGAGAAAGCATATGTCCACATTGCAAAAAAAAATAATTTATTTTATGACTCAAAACTCAGTTTTAAAAATCATTGCAATTATTATTTTCTAGTATTAAGATCATATCATAAAAATTCATTTTAAATTAAACATTTATAAAAATATTATGAGATAATATATCCCCGACCCCAAAAAAAAACAAAAAAAAAAAACAACACCAAAACATTCAGTAATAAATACAGTGCTATATACTTTTATTTTTATATTTAGAAAATTGGTTAGAGTATTATAATAATACGGATCAAAACTACCTTAAAATTTCAAGCTAATATAAATTATTTGGGCCATTCAAAATGAATTTGTAAGTGGCAATTTTTCCTTGTGGGAGGAAATAAAAAAATAAATAAAAGTTTCAGTAAAAAAAATTTATAAATATAAAAAAGAAAAATATAATATGTACAATAAAGATGCAAAATTTTAACCTTTAAATACAGTAACCATCTAAATACATTTTCTCTATGATATATCTATCCTTACCTGCTTTAATTAGCTGATAAAATAATGGTAGTGCAATAATACAGTGTCGGTGATATTCGTTTTCTAATATTTTATTTTCATTCCTGAAAATTAAAGGAAACAAATACAATTTAATAAAAATATATTTATAACTACTTCTCAATTACATATATTAAATTATCAATTTTGTGTGTGCTCCTTCTTGGTGTGTTGGTAATTTCTTTACAGAGGGTCACCTAAACATCAAATGACCTAGCTTTAGTTGCGAAGGCGACTCTCTTTGGAAATTAAAACTTTTTTTTTATAAAACTGAGCAGTTGTATCCCGGAGTAACAAAAATCAACACGCTGCACTTTGTGGATTATCTAAAATCTAAAATATTTTTATCTTTCAGGCCTGTATTAGAAGGATTTTTATGGTGTAGCAAAAAAAAATGTGATATGCCCATATTAAGGTGTACTATGACATTATCATGCCTAATTTCTCACACAAAGTTTGACTGTGGATGAAGCGTTAGGTGAACCATTCTGATAAACCAAACCACGGATTGGTCGGGGAACGTGGGTCCAAGTCTCGGAATAAAAAATCTCCGGCAGTGCTCACATGGAGAGTTTTCATGGCTTAGTATGGTTCAAATTGAGCTTGAGTCCCCCCACCCAACCCTCGCTGATGTCACCACTGACAAAGAGTCCTATCATTTGTGTCTGTCAAAGGTTTTTAGCTCATTATAAGGGTCTGTGCAATGAATGACTATTGATTTAGCCGGGAAAATATATTCTCACACCCCAGTTCTTCCTTCTTCTCCTACTGGAAATGTTTGAAGCAAACAAATCAATTTCAGTAAGTACCATCATTAAAAATAACGTTATTCTTCCAGCTAGCACTCCCTAACCTAATCAGAGAGCCCCCCTCCCTCTCAACACTCCATTAGCCACTCCCCAAACCCCATTTCAAAATACGACCCTGATTGAGTAATTATTATGGGTACTAGATGGAAGGAACTAATGAGTGGTCTTAAAATCAATGATTTAAGTAAGTACAGCCACAGATACTCGTACTTAATACTCATAAGTACTTTATATTCATTTTCAATACAATATTACATCACCAAGTCCTCCTCCTTATGTCTTTCATTCACTTAATTATACCAATCTGTGTTACGATTGTGTATGGCTTGAATTCAATTAGTTAAATTTGCCAATTCAATTTAATACAGTGAGGAGCGATCAAATAAATTTAAATGATGCGATACTTGTAGGAGGGGTTATCATGAAGGTTAATACAAAATTGTAGTGTTTATTATTATTATTATTATTATCATTCTAATAATCTAAAATTTTTATTATTATCTCCTCTGGTATAAGCCCTGCCCTTACTTTATCCCTAACTTCAAATATTCCTTTTCCCCATGCAAGCGGCTATGGTACGATTTGAATGATTTTCTTAGCTGACTTTCAGAAATGTTTTCAGAAAAAAAAAAATCAAAGATTTGCTATTGAATTAAGTATATGCAGTGTGAAGAATTTGCAATTTAACCAGCCCTAAAAATGTAAGACATTACCAGACTTATAAAATTTTATTTAACAAGAACATGTTACATGCCGAAATATGGTCATGATGACATCACGTCATGATATTTAATATGCACATCATGACTATATATGGGCATACAACATTTTTTTTTCAGAGAAAACTTGATAATTTGGGGAGAGCTTAAAGGGTGTTTGATAGAAAAGTTAGGAACAGTCGATGAGATGCAGATTTTTTAATACTTAAAATTTGGAAAAAAAAGGTTAAAAAAAAGGGGGGGGGTTACGCCCCTTTTTTTGCCAGTTTGGACACTCCTCTTTGAGACTTAATTGTGTAACATATTAAAAAAAAGTTTTTTTTTCTGGTGCCTGGCTTTACGTAAAAACAGATAAAAGAAAGAGACCAAATGCCAAATTTACACAAAAGTTGTTTTGAATGTTCTGAAAGTTTATTCCAATCACTTACTGCATGTCAGTGAAATGTTTTGACGTCAGTTTTGGTACAAAAAAAGCTGCTAAAAGACGTTATTACAAAGTAAACACTTGTACAGTATTACACGTTTTTTAAACAGAAGCAAATGCCTTCCGAAATATTTATAATAAGTGATGGTTTTCAAACAAGAGATATTTACACCTAAAGGTGTTAAACTCACTATTTCCCTCAATTGTAGTTATTTGATAACCTAGATACACACAAGAAAGTAAGCCATCAGAACTTACGGAAGAAAAATAGGTTTTCATTGAGAATTACTCTATTTAAAACGCTTTTGTACTTGTCCCAGTTATGCTTGTCATTTCCCCCTAGAACAAATATCTGTATTATCTTGCTACTAGGTATTGTTCTTAACCTGTCTATTTCTGCGACCTACATAGTGATGCGAGAGAGGGAAAAAGATTCAAAGAAACTTTTTGTGAACTACTGTAAATCATACAGTTGGTGTAGCATTGGTGTAACAATTAACTTATGGGCATGAGTCAGTCTGTACTCAACAATGTAATATTATAGAAGCATCTACGAAGCATCTATTTTAGCCAGTGCCTTGTCAAATCAAGAGTTGGGGTGGGGCGGGGAAGATGTGGTCTAGGTTGTGCAAACATCGTTTTTTTAGACAGGAGGCTCTAGCTCTCATCCTGGTGGGGTCTGTGGGACCACAGTGGAAATAAGTTGGTTTTTGTACTTTTCTGTGTTTTTATCCTTGAATGTTTTTACTTATAATTACTTATATGAATAAATAAAATAAAATAAAATAAAAAATGACAATTTCTCTTAATTTTTTTTTTCTGGGTTAATATGTTGATGGCAATGATACTAAGAGTGAACACGGCAACAGAGTACTTTAGAGTAGAGAGCTTTCGAACACACATTTAATCATCAATTAAAATTTACAAAGAAAAAGTAAGATACAACATCTTAATAATTACGTTAAAAATTGGGATCAGTGGAGTGGAGAAAATGGCGTCCGGTTGAACGCATTCTGCAACGATAGCAACGGAGTAGTATCACGTGGTATCGTGACATAACACTGTAGTACTCTATAGCCAATAAAAATACTATTAATTTAATGGTGTTCAGTGTTGCGCTGTAGGAAACTAAGGAAGGATTGGAAACTAAATAAAAAGAGTTGATTTTAAAGATGGGCAAAGGGATTTATAGAGGGCCATAAAATTAGCATTAGACTCGGTGGAAAACATCAAGGATTGTCGCCCACTCATCCCCTTGATTTGTCACTTCTATGCGAAGTGGCAAATACCAATATTAGCATAACTAGTGGAAAGTGGAAAATACATTTAATGAAAGACTGTTAATTAAACGATAATGAATTAAGTCTTGTATGTAAAAATTTTCAACTTTGTAAATAAAAAGAGGAAAAATTGCTAGGACGTTCCAGAAACAGCAGCCCCTGATAGTAAACAGGTTCCCCAGTGTAATTAAGAATTTAAAATAAAATAAACTAAATAATATAAAAACAATTTTTAAATTAGGAAAAACATAGTTTGCTCTTACTGATTTATTAAAATTAGGTAATGCTGTAATATCCCATCTGAAATGGTAAAAATTATATTTTTCCTCTTCATACAGATATGTGCAAAGGTACCTTTGATGGAAACTGTTGAACGTTGGTATCAACTTCTCATCTGAATAGTCATCAGGTGTATTTTTGGAAAGTTGGCAAGAATTTTGAGAACATCTGCAAAATGAATAAAACACATCTACAACTATAAATGTACTATTTATTTGTTTGAACGTTATTGTAATCCGAATCAACAATATTGGTGAAGTTGAAGTCGTGATGTCAGCGGGAAGGGGAACGCTTAACCACTCTCCCCCTTTTTCCCAAACTAAACTAAAGTATCTTTCAATATGAAAACACTTCATTAAAAAAAAATCAAAAATTTCAAATATTAATATAAAAATATATACATATATATACATATATATATGTATATATATATATATATACATGTATATACATATATCTATATATATATATATATATAATAAAGAACAGAGGCGAACTTTTTTTACTTCATCATTTTATTTCCCACTACAAATCTGTTTCGTATGATCAGCGAAGCTGACCACACTCATCAGGTGGTATCCTAGGTATCCTATATATATAATAAGAAATTCCTGACATACTGTATAATACCAAGGCCACAATAAAAATAATATTAAACAATTCATCATAATCTCATAACAAAATAAATACATTATAATATTATAATTATTATATTAACTACTATTGTCACTGATATCGTTATAATTACTATGATTGTATTATTAGTGATTGTTATTTTTATTATTAGTGGCAAGACAAAGGAAGAATCAATACAAGACTCTAAATATTACTACATGCAATGTAAAATTATCATGCTATTATAACATCCTCTAGCGAATTCCTTTTCCAAAATCATTTACTTTGTAGAAAAAAAAAATATCAAAGTGTGTGCTCACAAATTAATGATCTCAGATTATCTTGTCAAATTTTGAAAAGAACCTTGCATCTGTGATGAATTTAAAAGTTTTACCAGAAACCTGTCATAACTACGGTTTAAGATGTCCGCTTCCTTCCTACCAATAATTGCTGATGGTGGACGCCTTGATAACAACGAGAATCAAGACACACTTTGTAATTTATCGGGAAATGTCAAATAACCCTTACAGGGCAGGCAACTTGTTAAAATTACAGTTGGATTTATCCTCTATCCTCTGGTTAATAAAAGTCAGTCAAACTGGAATAAGTTAAGATCTTTTTTTGCCCCTTTTTACACTGAATGAAGTGAGGTCGATATGTCATTGGATAGCTAATACAATTAGCTTAAAGGTTACCATAAAGCATAGTACGCCACTAATTGGCTTAAAGTAAGAGTGGGCATAAAAATGGGTTGGAGGACTAAAGTGAATTTTGATTTAACACTGAGGGCTGAATCCAAAACTTTGACATTTTCCAGAAAATCTTTCATGCACTGATTTATTCAGAGGTTTTTTTTAGTCAAAAGATGGTAGGGTTGTTGCGGGCTGTAACAAAATTGCCATTGGGCCGCATATGGCCCACGGTCAACACATTGTCCAAGCTAATGTCTTAAAGAAGTATGCCACACCACAATTTTCACTGTATGTAAAAAAAATAACATAATATCTGGATGAATCACAGGCAGGGATAGCAAAAACTTTATTCTTATGGAGGGTCAAACAAAGCAATAACAAAAAAAAAAAAAAAAAATGGCTGAGATAATTTTGGGTGTAAAAACGGTCTATGGACAGGAGACCGGTGTGGGACCTGAGGAAGGCTTGATACTTAGATGCTCGAATAGTATTATGTAAATTGATTCTTAAAATAGATGCTCTAATAAGAAAAGGATGTGTAAGTCAGCCACCCATAGGTAATTACATTCATAATAAATGACCTACAAAATGAAATACGGAGAAACATGATTAATATCTAATAAATCTATTTACTAAATACTTATCAATCTATTATAACATTATGTTGTACTATGCACATACCATATGCCACATGCCTTGTCCATGTTTAAATAACATCTAATTTATATTAAGTTGAAATGAATATAGGGCTTGGTAATTAAGAATGTGTTCATGCAGAACATCGAAAAATATTTACACAGAATTTTTGAAGGTTAAAAATTCATGGGTGGCCTTTTTGTTGAAGCCAAAAAACCGTCTTTCAGAATTACCTTATTTTACAGTACAATGAAGTGAAGAGCACCTATATATATTAAAAAATAAAGAGTGAAAGAGCATTTTAATGTGAATGAGTAACAGAAGAGAGGAAAGGAATGAGAAGAAGGAAGAATGCAAAGAAGAAAAGAATAAAGAATAAAAAGGAAAAACAGCAGAAATAAACAAAGAAGCTGTTAGAGAGTGAAAAGAAGTAGAAGAAAAAGAAAATAAAAAAATGAAGCACAAAGCGCAAGAGTAGATGAGAAATTTGGAAGTAGACATAAGAATTTAAAATAACAATTTAAGAGTAAATGTAGAAATAAAGGAGACGTAGAAAGGAATATGAAAAACGGAAACAAAAAAAAAGTAGCATTGAACAGATGGAGATAAGAAACAAGAAAAAAAAAATGTAAAAAAGCAGAGAAGTAGGTAGAGAATAAAGCATTAGAAAAATTTGTTTAAAAAGAAATGAAAGGGAAAGGGCAAGTAGAAGAGGATATGTAAATGGAAGGAGTGATAAAGGTGCAAAAGAATAGTAAAAATGCCTCGTTTATCAGACAGGAAATGTAGTATATACTCCAACAACATTATTTTAAATCAAGTTACCCTTTATCATTTCAAACATTCAAATTCAATAAACAGAATACCGCTCAGCTACTAATAAAAATAAAACTTTAAAGTTTATAGGATACAGTGACTGTTTGAAAAAAAAAACACACACAGCTGATAGGTGAATAGGCACTAGGCCATAAATCTGAAGCCAAGTATTCAAGGCTGGATTCTGACCTGTAAGATCAGAGCTATCAAAGTTTAGAACCTCCCAGTAATACATGCTTCTTAAAATAACATCAACATCACCAGAAACATGATTAGGTTAGGCAGTAAGGTGTAAATAAAGCAGGGTATAGACAAAGCCAAGATAATCAGATTTTAATTGTCAGTATATTTCCTAAGAACTGCTGTTAAATTTTAAAGACGGGTCACTCTTTAAAATCGCTAGGTGTGTAAATTTATCTGTCTGTTGATAAGGTGATCCAAGAATGCAAAGAATAAAATGTTACTGGGACCATTAAGGTATAAATAAATATTTTTATAACTCCATGCTGAGTCTGACTAGGTATTTGAGATAAAACAAAATAAATAATAAAATAAATTTGACTGTTTTTATGATAGGCCTAGTTTGCATGAGCTATGATGACATATACATATATATATATATATATATACATATACATATATATGAGCATTTCTGCCACAGGAGTGGCAGAAATATCCGAGTTTATAATAAATCAGTGTTCTTAAAGTCTANNNNGATTTAAAGGATTTAAAGGCATGGGAAAAAACCCAGAAACAGCAAGCAGAATAAAGCAATGAATAATATAAATTGAAATGTAACAGAGGAGGAATCTGATAAGAAAGAAAACTCAGCCTCCACCGGGACTCAAACCCAGGACCTTTCCCATACAAACATGGAAAACATCATAACCACTTGACCACAAAGGCACTGTCGTGATTCAGGCATCCGGTAGAATCTGAGTTCCTTTCATTTTTTTTTTAAAGCATCTGACGATACCGATTTTGATATACCTGTAGTGCTAACATCGCACATATAATATATATCAAGATTGCCGTTACCACTGTTAAATTATAAATCATCAAAGCAGTGTTCGAATAAAGTATTTATATTATATGCAATTATTTGTTTCTAGCAGTACCTATTGGGTAATGGAGTGTATCAGGCGGTATTTGAATCTGTTCAACCATGAAGCCTCTGTGGTCTAATGGTTATGATGCCCGCCTTAACAGAAAGAGGTTGCAGGTTCGAATCCTGTGGGATTAATTTCATTACACAATTTCTTTATTCATTTACTTATAGGACTACATTCGTTGAGAGCTATGCTTCACGATGTATTATTATGTCCTTTATTCGAACGCTGTATTTACCTTTCTTTGGTGATTTACAATTTAACAGTGTTAACATCAATCATATGGCTGGATCTTAATCTGTAGATACAAGTTTGATAAGCAGCAGCTAAAATGTAAACATAAGTAAACAGCCAGAAATATCCATACATACAAACATATATATGTAATAATATAAAATGTTAATGGGCAATAAAGTTGCTAAATGGGCTTGCACTATATGAACCGTACTTCAGGTAAGTTAATACGGTACAGTAATATGACATACAATCTAACAAAATTTTAATGAATAATATTTTAGATGAGATTTCTTTAAGACGTTTAATCACAAATCGGGAACACTGACCTAATTTATGTACATTTCTTGTCAGGAAAAGTCTATATAGGCCTAATATGAGTAATAACCTCTCCACCCTCTATTCACCAATTCAAGTTGCCGGTGGCAACACTTGATCTCATCGTGAGGTAAATGGGAGGCCCTTTGACTCCTTAAGGCTATGAGAAAGTCGGCCTCCTGACTCTTTAAGGTTAAGTGAGAAAAGTCCGCCTTAAGGCTATGCAAAATCATACTTCTTTTATAAAAATATGAACTAGGCCTAATATGATTGCAGAGAAATATTAGTAAAATTACTCTCTAAAGACTTGCTGGCAATGAAAGCATATTCTTTGGGGAGGGTTTATTAGTAGTCCTATAGTAACTAGAGGCGTTAAGTGCTGGATCTAGGTTAGCTTAAAAGAACAAACCTATAAACACTGAATATATTTATGTTTAGTCATAATTTTACACGTTCCTATATCTCAAATGTTTGTATTGTTCATAAAACTATGATTAATATATTTTCATATTAATACAATAGCTACTATACTATTATTATCATCATCATTTTGTTTTTATAATGTTTGATAGCCTATTGTATAAAATTAAAGATTATAGCATTTTTTAGAAGAGGGAAAAAATGCAATCATTGGGTACATTTTTGATCTAGAAGCCACTTTCATGTCTTTAAAAGCCCTGACTGTACTATCAAATATTCATGATGTGGCTATATGTGGGACTGATATGATGTCATCGTGACCATATTT